CTGATAGAGATTATCTTTATGCTGTGGTTAGCTGGAGGGTGGTAACAGTAGTATTAATGTAGAGGCATCGATGTACAGTATTTAGGTAGGGAACTAAATCTAATTAAATTTCATGATAATATATACTTATGTTTGAAAGCATTTATCCTTCAGGTTTATTGTTTAAAGAATATATAAAAAATCTGTTTTGAGAATAATTAATCATGTTCATGGTTTGAGGTAAGTAAATGACTGATCGATTGCAAAAGTAGCCAAACTTTGGTTTACAGAATTTTAGTAAGCAGCATAGGGTATATAAAAGCTGAAAATGAATAAACTTGAACTAATTCAACGATATCTGGAGTCAGAAGTATCAGTATTAATAACTAAGATTGAATTCTCTAGTATGGATACTTAAATTTTTATAGCCAAATTTCAAATAAATACTTAGCTTACACGTTTCTTGTTGACTTGTACTTGTTATTAAAATATATGTAACATCCTGAAAAAATCTTATACCTAGTTTATGAGAGATGCTAATAATAACTAGTTAATGGCCATCCTTATATTTTTACTGATAAAATCTAGTAGTTCTGAGGAACCTCAAGTTATAAGAGAAATAGGGAACATTTCAATCACCATAGAGTACTTTAAAACAGACATAAAAAAAATTGTATCTGACAGAAAACTATAGTTGATACTTAGAAAGAGCATACAAACTTACCATTGCAATCAAATGATTTCATTTCACTCTGAATAATTTTAGTTATTGGTGAAATGTACATTACTAAAATTTCTATTTAAAATGTTGTAAAATACATTTCACCTTAAAAATTGTATGTTCAAATTAAGTTGTTCTATGGTGTATATTGATGATAACCAGAAAATTGCTTAACAATAAAAAACCTACTCGTTTCATTATCATTTTCATGCCTAAACAAATTGTAAAATTTAATTAGGATTCAAGATTAAATCTTTCAACATACAAACAGACAACGAAAGTAAAGAATTATTCTTTATCAGAATCATCTGATAATGATGAACCTTCAATTCAGAAAATAAGTCGTAAACGATTTAAATGGGATCCAGAGGATAAAATTGCAATGGATATAGATTTGAGTCAGAGTTCAACGTTCACCCTTACACCTGTATTAGATGGATGCAGTTATACAAAAGAAACACCAACAATTCCTTATACATTATTAAAAGATAATACACCTGATTTATTCTCCATACAAAGATCATTTATTAACCACGATCTCCTTTGTGCGTCGTGTCCACCTATATTTGATGGATCTTCGAAATTAGGATACTTATCTAGGAATTCAGTAAACTTAGAATCAATGCAAATTCAAAACTCATCATTATATTCGAATATCAAACAGGAAACTGAATTAAGATCTGATTGTTCGATCAAATCCGACTGCCTAAATAATAACTATAACATAAATCGTGCTATACATGACGAGGAATCAGTTAAATACGACGATGATCAAATTTCAACACCGATAAAAATGGTGCAATACAGGCCTGATTGTACAACGAAAGCAAAACTCTACGAACATGATACAGTTGAATTAACTGATCTATCAAAATCTAATTCTCCACTTCAACCGTATACGGTAGATATTGCAAACTGTACTCCTCATCGAGAAGAAAATTCTACTACTGTTATGACAGAAATAGAATCAAATTTTGGCAATACTGGAAATTCAACTCTTGAAATTTTGGAATTAAATGAAAAAAGTTTTAATGAACCTAAAGATTTTAAAGTCTTAAAATCAGTTCAAAATGATCAATCTAGAAAGATGAATGAATGTACACTACAAAAGAAAATAACGTGGTCAAAAGATATCACTGTCAACAATGCGATTCAGAAAAAACAGAAAAACCAATGGAAAAATGAAAATGATCAATTATTATACGAATTAGAAAAATCATTTTCGGTTGATTATCAACTAATTAACGATGGATGGTGTGAATTGGCATGTTTAATCAAATTTTCTGAATTAGGTCTACTTCACGGTACGTTCGAGTATTTCCTAGGTGTATGCTTTGTTAATGAATTTTGAGTGAAACTGTTCTCAGTAGTTATCTTTTATACCACATTATCAACTTTAGTTCAAGAAGTCAAGTGAGACTCCTAGCATACACACTTTGCAGTTCAAAGTTTAGTATATCTCTGGTATCGTTGTTATTTAATCTAAATGAAGCTTGAAAACACCTTCAAAACGAGATTAAGTTTTTTAGATGATTTTATATTTTCAATCAAACAGCATTTCTAGATCACACTTTAGGACTAACGATATGGATTTAACTGTTAATTCTTATTTTTTTATTGCAATACAGCTAACAAGTTGTTTAGAAAATCATAATCACACTTTCTTTTAAAAAACTTTATAAATAGATAGTTCGGAAAAAGAAAACTAATTTCGTTCCAGGATATCGTGGAATTATTTAATCACACAATACTTTTCCATTATCAAAACAAAATCCCCAACTTTAAAGTTGAAGTGAAGAAATATTAATTGATCGCTTACATCGGTTTTACTAGAATATAAGATAGAGCATAATGATTGCAGTAGTTAAACATGCAACAAAAATACACAACTTTCGAACACCAAAGTCTAACTTTCTAATCAAAATTTTAGAAGAAAAACGGTATTAGGAGAAACTGATCGATTAAGTCGAGTGATGGATTACAAAAACAGAAGGACTTGTTTGTATTCGTCACAGGTCAAGTAAACATTTAAATATGGACGACTAATCTGGGGTGATTACAGAAAATATATAGATTTTTCTATCAAATCTAAAAGTTTATTCGATGTTTTTTTTTAATCAATAGAACAAATAAAGCCTAATTCCATATCCACAGGGACAGTAACCCCTCAACCTTCTTGCTCCAAAATACAACTCGAATATGAAAAAGATAAAGAGGAAAAACGAGTGTACAATGCAAACATACCGAACAGTGCAGTAAGTTTTATTTTCACTCTTGCTCACAAGTGCATAGTAAAATAGGTTATATTGTCATCACTACGATTACTAAAAACTTCAAGTGTAGAATATAAGTTACGCAATAGTTTATAAATTGAACTGTTTATTTTACTCAGTCATGCAATGGGCTTATGCAAGAGGTTATCTAAAAGATAAAAGATAGTTAGCCGAGTTATAATTTCTATATGAACCGAATAAGTTGCCTACAATATGTGATAGACATACTTTCAAATGGAATGCGGGCTAGTTTAAAGTTAGGTAAAAAATACGGTGACTTCAACCATAAACACGGTCCCTGAAACCTGGTTTGCATCGTACAAGTGATTATAGAATTCATTACACTTCTTGCAAAATAAACACCGACAGTTCAAATTTCTAATAGGGGTTCACAATCACTCACTTTTTATTTACATCCCAAGAATCTATCAAGTTTATATTTTGGGTGGATTCAGTAGTGTTAATTTGTACATTATTCCACTTTTCATATATAAATGTTCTAACAATAAGAACCTTCAGTTTACCAGTGCAACAAGTGATAGACAAAAAAACGAACTTCGGCTCGAGATAATTTGTATTTCAAGTTTTTTTTATTGAACGTTTTCAACAGAAGGTAATCTTTTTAGTATTGTGCATCACATCTTGAAAGATAAAGAAGCATATGACATACATCGATTTTGATATTTTATATAGTTGGGAAGCAAAGCCCCACAGCATTCCAAAGTGTACCTGAGCATCATGAGACTATTGCATTCCTTGATTTTAGGGAGATATGCGGCAGTGAAATTAAAATACGTTTGCTCATTGAGTGTGGGCAAAAGGGCACTTAACATACTGATTATTAAATAAGTGATTTCCTTTCCTCCCATTGATTTCTACTCCGGGTTCACTGAGTGTGACTGCATGTGTTGAATAAAGTATTATCTGGTTCTCTATTCAGAGTCGTGAATTCTGGATCTGATATAAAGTGGTTATTCGCATTATCGTGGCATACCTAAGAGAAAAATAATTCATTATCAGTTTTGTTAGATTATCTTCTGTTATGATGACCGAATATATAGTTCGATGCAAACGCTTTAACTGGTTATTTGGTGGGTTATTTGCTGGGTTTTATTGGTCAACAAATAATATGAATCGTATGAAATCATATTTATTTAATAAACACTACTGTGCCTGATTGGGATCCATAAGATTGTCGCAAACAATGGTTAGTGACGTTGAATGACATGGCTTAGAATCTTTCGAAATGGCATAGATACATTCATTCTGTCTTTCCTATAATCCTGAGCTTAAGAAATATCTTACACCTTTTTATTCCACGAACTCACTTGTGTCGAATAATAGCGCCTATTTCTAATCATTTCTATTGCTAATCATACTATTTCAACTACTCTGGGATTTATCTTGATAATTTCATCTTGCTGTATAAACGTGGTACAAGAAATTGAAACGAAATAGATAAGGTTCGGGTTCAACGTTGCATGTAACTAACTTGTTGCAAATGAGAGCTGAAGCCCTACTTCACAACTGATAAAATAAGAAAAAGCGGCGTTTAGAAGAACCATGTTAGACAAATTCTGGTAAGCAGTATAGATTAATGGTATTTGAATATTGTTGTAATAAAGAATTTCAGTGGACATGACCAAACTTCAGATCGCGCTATACGCTTAAATCATAAGAATATCCTTAATATTCTTTGTATTAAATCTAAGTAAGCAAATATTCCATAATAAAACTTGTACTCACATTATGACAACTAATTACAGTTTTATCCGACTGATATATGTAAACCTAAGTGCTCGACACATTTTTAAAAAAAAATCTCAACACACCTATGAGTAGAATAATCGAGGAATGTTGCTTTGAATAAATTCTTTATCAGTTGTTACACATTGGTTATGTATTTCTTTTCTTTAACCGATAGCCAACTACATTAGCTCTTAAACAAACTGAAATTGGAATATTGGATTTATCCCTAACTCCTGATTCATACATTAAAGAAGAATGATTTACATAAGACAACTCTATTATTATTGTTAATATTATTATTATTATTATTCATGTACATACATTGTTACAAAAAAATATTAAATAATGATAAGAAATACTGTGACGTTTTATTATTGACTGAAACATTTTGTAAGCAAAAGTATCCTGGTGAAAATTTATGATGTTTTTTTGTTAGGAAAATATAAGTTTGACAAAAAGGATATTGAAGATAGATCTATATCACAATTAGATTATTGGAAGGTTTGATTAGTTCCTCATATACTAGGTGGGAAAAAAATAAATTAAGGTTTAAAATAATGAATTATTTGAAAAAAAAATTTATAATCGGCAAACGTTTTTACTTACAGAAAGAACACACTACTGAGTTGCTTTATCCATTTAAGTAGAACTCTTTTCAAAAATACCTACGTATAATACAATTACAAACTGATGTAATGACTAAAGTTGAAAGAAATTTGAGATCATGACAGGATACAAAGCAGCAGCTTACCAACGTAGAGCATTACATATAGTGAACCAGGGAGAATCAATAAATCGCAACGTATGATGTAATGCCGAGCTAAATAAGTTGCTTTGAGATCTAGTAAACATAGTAATACGTTTTAGATGTTCAAAACAAGTTTACTTACAACTAATGATTCTCTCAAATACTATTAGAATCATGAAAAGTTACTAATTAATCTCAAATACTACAGCTTTCATTGTAATACGCTGTAGTTTTTTACCAGAAGGTGTGGGTCACATGAAAGGATGCTAGGTTCTTATTTTCTTAGTTGTTATTGATACAGATGAGAGCTATGATGGAAGCACACAAGACTAACTGATACATGTTAGGTATGACTAACCACAGATTACCCTAATACTCGATCCTAGTTGACATATGATTAGTATGGAACGAAAATGAGGATCTACGTCACATCGATAGGTTCAGACATTCGGGTTTGGATCTGCACAATAATCTTAAGTAATGGTTGGGTAACATGGTGTAAAATCCGTCTTAGCAGCATAATTACACTTATTCTCTAGTTTCTTATAAATCCTTTGTTAACTACCATCCTTAACTTGAAATTCTTCAATTCCATTTGCTGCTTATAAACAGAATTTTTTATGTTCAGATTTCTATTGTTTTTTTAAACGATTTACTTCCCTTAGCTTCTCATCTAAAATTTCCCTCGCCTTGTGCTGATATTAAATGTGGTAACTTGGACCTGTATACATTTGTATCAGACCTGATGTTGATGTTTGACTGAAAAATCCATAAATAAAACCTTAATAAATACATGCAACAGCTCATTTACCCATGAAACTACTTGAATTTCAGCAAGCATATGAAACTAACACTATAAATCTCTCATTAGAATTAGACTATCAAAGCAATTGAAATATAACTGATAAAAAGAACATGAAAGGGAACGATCTACGAATACTATCGAAGAAGTATCCTTCTCAAACACAACAATCAAATTGCATACCAATCTATCATCCATTAAGACAAAAGTGTTGCCAAAGAAAATTTTGTCTATATACGAATGTGACAAATTATTTAATCTCGTAAACAATATCTGTTTCATGTTAAGAAAAAAATATGAAATTGACTATTCCCAACATAATAGAAATTATTTACTTGTACAATAGTGTGTATTCGTTCCATAATATCAGGTACAATAGCCTTGATAGATTCAGTCATACGATTAGCCAGTCGACTAACAGCTTTCTCTTCTGATTGATGTACACAGAAATGTTCTTTTAAAAATTCAGATGCATTATTTTGTTGACCATTAAAATTCTGTATTCCAGTGTTTGACATTAAGGAAAATAGAGTCAAAAATAAATTCGCGTGCCTGTAAATCAATAAAAAAACAGTAAGAAAAGGAATTGTTAACTACAATTGGTAAACGTATTAATACTGTATAGATAACCGATGAACAAATAATTAAAATTAATTTTGACACGAAAATTATATGGAATTTTACAACTAATAAATGAAACACGCGAAATTATACAAATAATGGACATTCATGTGTATAGGAAGGGTAGTGTTATATCATGAAGTGAATGAAAAAATGAAAAACTAAAACTATGAGTTTCGGGATAAGTGGTTCAACATTGGCAGTTTCTTCAAGACTACTATTAGCACCAACTATTTAAGGTATTAGGCTGCTAAAAATTATCTTAATACCTATCAGAGACGAAAAATCGATAAACAGTTGGATGGGAGAATTGAATACAGATCAAACTAATGAAAATAATATACTACAGTTGTTTAGAAATGAGTCGTAATATAACGATTAAACTATGTAAAAGGTTTTTCAGCATATTTTATTTGAAACATTTGAACAATACAGACGTTAACTTAAATAATACCAATGTTTATATTCAAGCTAAAAACAATAATATGTTAGTCAATAGAAAGATGAATAAATGTATTAATAAATCTTTAGATTGTATCAGATATACACTACTTATGAAAATCATTCATCACTTACCGTCTTAAAATAAGAAAAGCTGTAAAAGTGATTTTCCAAAATTCATTAAATTGATTTGAATTTGGACCACCCATACCATCAATCATTGCACGAGTTAATCTTACTTCAGGTGCCATTGGTTTAGGATCAGCGCCAAGAATAAAACTAAAATCAATATGAAATAAATGACCATCAGCAGTGAGTAGTAAGTTCTCCATATGACGATCACCAACTCCAAGAAGATAAGTGATGACACAATAACCGGCTGTAAAAAAGCAAAAAAATATTGTGGTTTCCTTAATAAAGTGCTTGAAGGTAGTATAAAATATTCATGTCACACACTGTTAGAGGAAGAAATACCACATAGTGATTGAAAATATTTGTGAAAATAAACAATTAATTGAATCGTATGATAAATAACGATAACATTCTCTGTCTAATGTTCTTCCATGACCACTAACCCTTCTACTGCATACAACAACTTGTTATTCTTCTTGATTATCTCACTACATTACTTAAGTATAGCGTGATAATATAGAACGGTGCACAAATGTGTTAGTTTCTATGCTGCTTATAAGTGGGTTAGAGAGTGATAAAATCGAAGACTTCAAAAGACGAATGTACAAAAACACTAGTTTACTAGTGATCTTTTCTAAGAAAAGCAGCTTAAAATAGAGAATAAAGTATGGCTCAACCAAACACGATAAAATTATTGAGGATTGAGATTGTGAATTCAACTATAAAAAACAACGTAATTGAGTTGAAATAGTAGATAAACGCGTGCTTTGAAGAAATATAGACATTAACTCTTCCCATACTTACACTAGCTTATTCTTAAATACTATTTCATTTGTATAGTCCTGTCGCATTCGCTTTGTTTATATTTGTCGTATTTGATAAGTTTTATAAATGAACGCTCGAATCGATTTCCTGATCGCTTTTAATAATTCCAGGCTAAATTTACACGGAAACTTGAATATAAAAGAAAAGGCGCAAAGTGTAAAAGGAAGGTTATACTCCAAGTTTGGTTTATTTACAGAAAATCGATGGCATTTATGGTGTTTCAGATGTCTTTGGGCTTCAGGAAGTTTCTGGAACGATATTAAATATAGTGGAAGCACAGGTAACTATCCAATCGAAAACGTGACTCTTCCCTTTCTAAATGTTTCTGAGAAGCTTCTATTGAATGCTGATGAAAAAAGGATTCCCAGTGTTTTCTGGGTCTCTGTGAACTTTTCCGAGGAATACTTTGAATCTCCCCCATAATATCAGCTCCACAAAACAGGTTCTTTTAATTTAGTAAAGACTTTTTACCCTGTTGTCATTTAATACTTTATTACTCTAACGGTTTTGTAGATTAGCACTTAAACACTAGAACTATCAGAGTTATTGTCGTCCATGAGCTACCAAAACACTTAGTTATCTATAGTTAATCCATAACAATTACTATTTACACAGAATACCACTTTCCTTGACAACTAAAACGTTTTTCTGTCTACAAAGTTATTTTATTCACATAAAATGGCTTTTCTTTATAACAGAAAAACATACCACAAGAACGAATATATGTTTCCATAACATCTTTTTGAACACCCATAGGACTATTTGGACTCGGAGCTTTTAACTGTAAATAAGCTAGTAATGTGGAACGATGAAGGATATCAGCCAATGAAATAGATTCGACAAATTGAACTAAACCTATAAGAAAAAAGCATAAGAAAACTAAATGAAAAGTGATTTTTTTATGTTTTATCAATACCGAAGAAAGTTTCGAGTTTGATTTATTATAGGAAAGAGTGTTACATACTTTTGCCATCACTCGGTATTTACTTTTACGATTTGTAAATTCTTTTATATTTGCCCATTATTCTTTACCATGCTCCATTATTCTTTCTCGAGCTTCTAAGAAAAGATTTTACTTTGTTATGAAGAGCGATGAAGGCAGTCTTTATGAATGTGGTTGTGGACAGACATTTGAAATCTGAAGAACTACTGGCAAGTGTTACTTTATCAGACACAAACGGTCTACACCATTCACATAGTTCTCTTTAAATATCTTCTGGTAGAACAAGACGCAGGTGTATGTAAGTAAAAATATAAAGGCTTTACTTTGCAACTCTTTTTCATCAAATCCTTGTTACACTAAAGTTTAAAATTCACTATACGTAAAATTTTACCCTGATGTATTTAAGTAAAACTGGTTGAAAAGAAACTATGTAAATAATAGCCAGATTAATACAGAAGTAATTTACCATGACGGTTACTTGTAGCCAAAACTTTATACGGTGTCAATCTAAGGTCGAAATTTTCTTTGCGAAGTATCTAAAACAGATAACGACAAAACGCCGTAAAATAAATAAATAAAGCATTAATGGGAATAGGACTAACATTTACCTATATTGGTGTTCAGAAAATTACAGAAAAAAAATCTGAAATAACAACAAATGTGAATATCTTACTTCATTATTATTCGTCACAAAAAGCTTATGGAAGGCATACGTTTGGAGATAAGCAGTGAGAACAACTATTAACACAAACACAACTACTAAGGTAAAGGGTATTAAGAGAAAGTTTTATGAAACCATGTCAACTGACAGACTTTATAGTTGGCATTGCGGATTGATATTAGTTAGACAACTAACGAAAACCAAGAAGTAATTGGTAGCCGTTCCTTCCTAAAACATGAGCTTCTCGGCAGTGTACGTTTACGGCCCAACTGGAAATGAAACCCAAGACCTGTAGGTCTTGTGGTGAGCACATAACCCTTGAATAAGGAAACTTGATAGGAACAGTAAACGCTATGAGATGTAGCGAATTTATTTTATTTTATGCGTTTAGATTCTTCTGCATAAGCACTAAATTTAATAGACATAGTCTTGTGAGAATGAATCGTTAATAAATTTATTCTATGGTTATAAATAATCGTAATTACTTCCCAAAATCTTAGAAATTCAATTTACAAAATAAGAAAATGGACAAGAAAGTTAAGAACGTAATGAACCGAAAGAAACGTAAATTATTTACAACAGAAGAGATGAACTGATAGAACTAATATCTATTAGCAAAAATTGTGAGAAAATCATAATGAAGGTGATAATAATAATATATCAAGTAGATATGAAAAATCAAATGAGGTGCGAAGAACTGAATCCGTAAGAAGTTAAACGCGCTTTTTTTTTAAATAATAAGGCTGATGGTAATGATAACAGCAATAAAATATGGATGAAAACTCAATTGAAATGAACAACGATGGTCATATTTTCAAGAGACAGGTAGTGAATGTGGACCATACGAAATGATTTTAACCGGTGGATCATTGAAAACCATAGAGTTTTAAACTGTCTCGTCCTAGTCAGCTTCAAATCCACTAATACTTAAGAGGCTTTAAGCAGCTAACCAGATATTGGCCACATGATAAGCTCACATAATTGGTTACCGTGTGGCTTCCGTTACAACAGCATGAGACGTTTTAATGTGGCTTGAATATCCAAGAGACACATGTATGAGTGAGCGTATAGCTTTTTTTAAGAAAACTGTCAACCAATGAAAAAACTTCCTTCTCACTCCCAATCTTCTTATTTGCATACCCGTTTATCATCGCAAATAGGAAGCTTGTATAACAGTATCAGGATCGGACTAAATATACATATTTCTAGCAATCTAACTTTTATCGTATAGTGTCTAACTGAAAAAAAGTCCAACCATAAAGATGCATGATAAACTTTTGTACTGTGGATACCATGAATTTTAAAGTACAGTTATCAGTGGAGTACTGAAGTTTTACAAATTGTCTTATTTTTTCGAAGCACCAAGTAGGTTCATATGTCAAGTTCTATGGGAAAATTATTCCAATAGATAGTGTAGAAACTATGGTAGACTAAGCCAACAAAATCACTGTTTACCTCGACGTCCTATACTATGATAGAAGTGATAGCAATAAAACCTTAAAAATATCAAGCCAAAATATTTAATTATTCGATAACCCCGCAAATTATACTACATAACTAACTGACTCTAGAAAAAAGATAATATTGTAAGAAGATAGAAACAATTAATATGTAGAAAAATGATTTCTGAGCACAACACAATTACTAAATTGCAATAGTTAATCAAACTCAGACTATCTTTCTAATTATCAAGCGACTACTTTATGATATCTGAATGCTAGGTCGAAATTTCTCTTCAGCTACAAAATGACTATTAGGAATAATTAACTTGAGAGAATAAACTAAAGAAAATCTTACCACATCCATTAACTCAATCATTTGTAAAACCAATTGATCCTGACGTAAATCATCACCGTGTTTTAAAATAGCTCGATAAGTGTCGCCATTCGGTTGGATAAAAGTCAGTAATGCAGGTCGTTGAAAACTCTGCAAGAAATTGGTGGCAGGTATATAACAGAATAATTGAAAATCAAATTCATGGAACATTTACATTACATTTATATTTTTAGTAGCCTATAATAATAAAAAAGGTTCCTTCATGAGTTTGAACGGAACTGCCCCCAAATGCTCTGGTATGGCCGAGAGCGTGGTGTGTTCGCCCTCCATCTCGAAATGCTCTCACACGGCCACGCGTATACAGCCTCTGCCAGGGAAGTCCTACTCACTGCCTTCTCGTGACGAAAAGCGAATGTCCGGCGCTTTAACCGGACCCCAAACCGATGGTCCACATGGGCTCCAGTATCCTGCGGGAACAAATGGCGTATGAACCAATTGTTGGTCACCGGCTTCCATGGTACTGCATCTCCTCACGATGCTCCACTGCCTTGTGGGTTAGACCTTTAGGTTAAAGGCTCGAGGTGTGGCCCCCTAAGAAAACCACGTGCTTCGGTTTGGGTACCCGAGCAGTATCTCAGCCCGCACACAAAAACATGATAAACTATCTATTTATGAAAAATATTCCTCTCGCTCCAAATAACAATCAAGTGACTCGCATTATTATTATTATTATTATTATATACTACGTCATTATTCACCTTCTTTTACTCCCATTCTGTTTATACTTATTTTTTCGACTTATACAGCAGCTCGTCTATGGTGGAAATTCGACTGTATCTTAACGTTCTCGAGTCACTGACTGGTTCAAAATTGTATGTTACCACCGAATATGAGTACTGAAGAAGTTTTTCTGAAACCACATGCACCATTCAAACTGGCTGCCTTCAAAGTTCGCACACTTATGTAGGTTGGACAACAGATAGAGCCGGCTATGTCTTCAGAAAGTCTTAATATTGATGTCTGCTGTCTATCCGAGACTCGTATTCAAGACTCTGGTAAAGTACTACAAATTCGCTCTCCATCTGTCGCTTCGAAAAGCTTGTTTTACGTGCGCTTATCCGGGGACCCTGTGGCATCTTTGTCTGGTCTTGCTGGCGTTGTTGTCGCACTAAGCGCTAGAGCTGAGGCAGCACTAGTCGATTGGATCCCCATTAACAGTCGGCTATGTGCTGTTAGATTAGAAAGTTCCATCAAAGTGAGAAGAAATCGGCGTGAGAAACGATGTCTTCTCGTCATTTCCGCCTAAGACCCGACAGATTGCAGCCCGGATGCAATCAATGATGAGTTTTACCACCAGTTATCTGTTCTTCTCCAGAAAGTGCGTTCGACAAATATTGTAGTACTAGCCGGAGACTTGAATGCTTAGGTCGGGCGTCTAGGCACAGATGCGAGTCGTTTAGGTGGCCGATGGGGACTCGTTGGTCGCAGGTCAGATAACGGGGACCGTCTACTGCAACTTTGCACAGACCACAACCTGTTTCTGGCTAGCACTAACTTTCGGCACAGTCATCGCCGATGTGCCACCTGGCGTCCTCCCTCTGCATCTCAAGCCTGGACTCAGATTGATCACATCACGATCAGCTACCGCTGGTGTGGTTGTGTACAAGACTACCGCTCGTTGTGGAGTACCTATCTGGACTCTGACCATGCCTTGGTCTGCGCCAATCTTGCCTTACTTTCCAGTGGACAACGAAGTGACCGCCAGCAAAGGATTGATATTAACAAGCTGGTTGCAACTTCTATTGCAAATAAGTATCGAACCGAGCTAGCCTCTAGGCTAGCTACCACTCGACCGAAAGGTAAAGATGAGCATTGGTTGCAATTGCATGACGCCATGAAAATGGCGGGTACAGTCAGTTGTGGGTTTGCGGAACGTCCCGCTTATAAGCAATGGGTTTCTTCAGGCTCCTTACAACTCATTGAAGCCCGTCGGTCTACTCCGGGTGACCGTGAGTTTGACCACAAACGAAGGTTGCTACGTAGCGAAATTGGGCAAAGCTTGCGTAAGGACTGAGAAGCCTGGTGGTCGGAGGGTGCTAATGAGCTGGAAGCAGCAGCTGCATCTGGTAATTACCGGAAGCTCTTCCATCTCATCCTAGCAGCTGGCAGCAGGAAGTCTGGTGTGAGCGAAACAATCTGCGAGGATGATGGGATGCCAATCACTAACATCCATCGACGTCTTGGACGATGGGCAGAATTTTTCGAAAGGCAGTTCAACTGGCCTGCTGCTCCGGCAGCACCGGTCAGACTGTCCTGCCCTCCATGGCTGGTGACGACTGGTCCACCAAATGAGGCGGAAGTCCGCAAGGAACTCCAACTCTTGAAGCGCTACAAATCGTGGGATAAGTCTACTTTCGATTGCGTCCAAGCTATTGGCTTCCGTCATACTTCGTAGGTTGTTCAAAACCCGAGAAAGATTGACTCGCGAGGAGCAGGCTGGGTTTCGTTCTGGTCGAGGATGTATTGATCATATCTTCACCCTCCGCCGAATGTTAGAACACCGTCATACTTATCAAAGGCCAACAATCGTAGTGTTTCTTGACATCAGGGCGATAATCCAACTGGTGTCACCATCCTGAAACATCGACTTCGGTGGCTTGGACACGTTCTACGAATGTCGTCCCAGAGAATTCCACGTCGTGCATTATTTGCCGACTCTGGGATTGGTTGGAAAAAGCGGAGAGGTGGTCAGTGTATGACATGGTGTCGTGGTATGAAATAAAGCTGTAAAGGACTGGCTTGTGTCGGTCCTCCATGACTCCCTGGTTGGGGTCCGAGAGATGGTGCTACACAGTGGCTAGAGACATTATAAGATATGGCTCAGAATAGAAGCCAGTGGCGATCCTGCTGTAACCTTCTTTTACTTTCTTCATAACAAAAATGGTTATATCTTCCTTAACTGGAGGATTTCTTCTGATTGTACCCTTACGTTCCCACATCATTACACTACCTTACACCAATCTCCTCCTTATTGTTCTTGTTTTACCCTCCTTACCTTTTTCTTCTTCTTCCTTCTCTTTAAATACTCATTGTTTTGTGTGGCGCATATATATTTGGCGCACTATTGTACCAATATGTTTGTGTTCAAATAAATAAATTGAACGGAAGTAATTTGCCAGGTACAGAATCGTGTAGCTGGCTTTGAACCCCCCCCCCAAAAAAAAATAGCTTGTCATATTAATCATTTTACAACTGAAGTTTTACACTATGTAATTTCAATTTTTTTGAATGATGCTGTTCAAGATAATCATTTACATGATGCTAATCATCGCAATTAACAGAGAAATATGCATATATCAACAAACCTTGAATAGTGTAGCTGTAGACGATTGTACACCGCATACAATAATATCCGGATTTAGAGGAAGTGGGAATGGTTTATCAATGTGCCTAATATGAGCATATTCTTCACTATCCAACTTTGATCTTAACAATTCAATCTATACATTAAAGCAAAAATAAATAAATAAATAGAATGTACAATTAATATACACTAAATTTACTCGTTTACTTTACTAATGTCATGAACACCGACATCAGCAAACACATCTTTTTATCATACCGAGTTAGTTCAACTTGAACTGCTCTTGTGGAGCTATTCACTATGGGCGCGCAACTAGACAAATGCATCATCGTATTTCTGAACATTGCCCTTCATGCTCGACCAAAGGACAGAAGAAAGTAATAAGAAGCTCTATTTTGCTGAATATAGTCGATACTGGTCACTACACAAATAAAACGACAGCGTTATTTATAACATCTCTCCGAATTTACCCGATGGTTCTAGAGTCCAACTCTTACATATGGCAGAAGCCATATGAATACATATCGAAAAACCTAACTTGTGTATGTACAAGGAGTTTAGACAACCTTTAAGTTTACCTTAGCTTTCTACTAAGATACTGTTACATGTTTCGAAACCTTTGTTCCCTTCTCTTAAAATTTTATATTTACACCCAATTTTAATTATCTAACTATTTGTAATAATTAACTTATTATGAAAATTCACTTTAGTTTTAATCTTAATCTGATTTTTTCAAACGCTATATAAAATAACTGATTAGTATTTAGGTAAACTGACTCACAACCATCTAATTGCTATCAACTTTCTATAAACTTATAAAACCTATGCGTTAGTGTAGAGCCTTGATGAAGAACTCCATGAGAAAAATATTTCCTTGCTGAACTTGTCTTTTTATTGTCTCAATGGGAATATTCAATGAATTAATACGATGTGATCCAGATTTCATCGGTCAGCTTTGGTTGTGAAAAGTACGTATTTAGTGTTTAAATAAAATCATAGCATCCAATAGTGAATAAAGTATGATGAATGTTTAAGAAAGACACAATTATTCCATTAGTTTTGTATTAAGGAAACCATATATAGAAGTAAAAAGTGAGAGGTTCCAGATCGAACATTATAGGTAAAGTACGTGAACGAACCAGTAAAAAAGAAACAATCGAATCGATTGATTTTAATGTTTCTTTATTGAACCCAAATAAGAATTATTCTTAATAAAGTAAATGGAAATCATCCACTAAACTTAGTTTATTAAAAACACACTAAGAATCATAACTATATGGATAGTGAGATGTAAATTAGCAGTTATTTAGGAGCAAATTAAAAGAAAAAGAAGAATAAAATTCTCTTATTGATATTGTTTTTTTTTAATGAATAGGAGAACACATAAAATTGAATTACTTTACGTGAACGATTACCCAAATCATTGGTAACTGATTTTAGCAACCGGCATAAATCTTGAATGAATTGTGTTTGTTGTAGTAGTTCTATGTTCCATTTTTGACAAGTAGGACTACCCTATATGTTAATTGGTTGGGAAAAAACACAAAGAAACCAAGTTAATAAGAAGTTCAACTCTTACACTTTACGGAAACATTATAATAAAGAGATAATCAACTAAACCACTGTTACATTCGATAGGATCAAGATATATACCTTGTAACTAAATTGGATCCAATGATCACTTATAAATACATACTTAACAATTGTTTCGGACAGCAATTAGCAGTAAAATCCAGGATAATTATTTCTTCCTATTTAGGACTAACCATTCGAATGCACTCTTGTCGCAGTGTTGATATCCACAGCGAAATTCAAAACTAGTAACCATCTATTCAAGCGTCAAACAATAATTAACTTTTAAATAGAACCAATATTGAGGCCTTCATTTAGAGAGCTCGTACGTCAACACAAACCTCGTGTTACCAGTCAAAATAAATCGTGATTAGCCAGTGGGCGAAGACAAATATATCCGCCTACCATGAGTACAAGAGATTATCGTATACATAAAACTGGCTTCAGTTTCGTTATAATTTGAGATTACTTGTTAACTACTTTACGTTGTACATTGATATGTTTCCGTTTTGAACAAAACCAGGCTATCTATCGGCTTTCGGGAATTTAAATCGAGTGTCATGTGATTAAGTACCGTGTTCTATTGAGTTTACTAATCTACATGTGTTCAGTTCTATTGATATAATTTCATACTGTCTAGTACTCTAGCATAAAGTACCAGAATCGCGAACTGTGTATGTTCGTTATAACACTGGCTAGTTTCATACTGAAAACAACGACAGAGGGAACGCACAAACATAAATAAGAGATTCAAGAAACTTGACCACTGAGAAATTTCAGGGCATATTGCTTTGTAATACTTTAACTTTCTAGTGGTGTTGATACTTGAGATTCACTTATCAAAATGTGTTTGTTATTTCCAAAGCTAATAAAATAAACGCCTCAATCAACATCGTTACTTTCAGAATTATCTTTCTTATCCTAAAAGAAGCCAGATAAATATCAAAAGCACTTACAGGGTAACAAGAAATTTAGTATGTTACGGGGAAAATGATCGGTTAAAAGTTATAGACAATAATGATCAGCACAAGCCGGAAACTGACAAGATTAATGACCGATATTTTTTCACCAGATTGATGTCGATAATAAAATCAAATGCTTGCTCTCAGTAACATTAAACTACTTACCATGCATACCAGTAGTGTTTTTCATTCAACTTGTAATGTCTAGCACTATGTCAAGCCGACATGGGTTATTCTAGCTTCCGGACAGACCAATTTATTTATTTTTCTCGATTTACATTTCGACCATGTTAATTATTCGCTTATAACGTAGACTGCTTTTATATGAAAATATGTGTCCATCACGTACCCTATTCATAATGTCTTCAGCTTATTTTTGCCTAACTATAAATATTGTATCACGATTCGTCAAAACGAGTTGGCATATTTTACTTCTCCGCTTCGATTCGCTTTTCCGCTTCTTATTTTTAATGTCTATCAGAGTATAAGTGTATATGAAATAAATTCATCCAACTTAATCCGAGTTAGGTTTCTCAATGCCGCCGTCGCATAAACGGGGTTAGACTGGGTAATAATAATAATAATAATAATAATAATAATAATATTATTATTATTATTATTATTATTATTATTATTATTATTATTAATGGCTTTATTCATATTATATTTTGGTACAACATAGAATTCTCAGCACAGGGTTAAATGGAAGATTTGTGTTCATGGCATACTCATACGTTCATTTGGAATCATCTTTTCTAGATTCAAACTGGAGATATAGAGAGTAGGTGGGTTAGATATCGATCACTTTTGTATAATTTTGAATAACCAGAGAGTAACTAGGAAGTAGTATTTACGGATACCAGTCAAATACAGAAACATTATTAAGGTTCCTAATACATAAGTCTTGATTTCATAACCGGAAACCAGTAAATGCTACAATGAAACCTCGCTGCACTATCTCAAGCTATTTATTGCCTGTTAATGGTGTGCAGTCGTTCAGTCCAGTTACGTCTTAATTTTAAGTATCCCTAAAGTTATAAACTCAACAGTACAATGTGAGTTTTAAAAAAGTGACAACAACAATATCAAGACTGTACATCCAACAAATGGTAAAAACTTACAGCATCGAAAGCATGTAAAAGTCTATTCAAAACATGTTTATACATCTTTTGAGTATCGGGTGAATTTACTGTATCCCGTTCAGAGAAATCATCTTCACCATCATTACTGTTTGCCTCTAATTGTAAAAACCAATACAGGTAATTTGCAATACGAAAATTTAATTGAGCACGTCTTATAAGGAAACTGGCTAAATCTTCCTATAAAAGAAAATATATATTTGGAGAGAAAAAGTTTTGTAAGTAGTCCGATGGGCTGTTTAAAATTATATGTGCACTTGTGAACATTAAACTCTATGACTCAATGGTAATGTGCTTGTGACAATATCTAAAGATTATGAAATCATTCTACTCAAAGTCTGTTTGTTTTATCCAATTTCAATGACTTCCATATTTCAGATCATTGCAACAGTAACTGAGATCAACTCGTGATTTTATTTATGACAATCCAACAGTCTTTACAAATCCTCATATACTAATAATAATTATGTGCTCACTAGTGACTAGCTTCATGATTCAAATCCAGGGGTTCTAGTAAGAAGCTGTGGTTATAGGAGTTCAATCGTGTCGCGTATGAGATAGTTATCTACTAAAGGTAATGGATGAGAGTTGTGAAATATCGTGGACTGATTGAATTTAGATACTAACACTGTTGGATGCCAACTCAGTGGTGATCTAGAAGCTAAGCTTTGGCGCGTGAGACCAAGAGATCTGGGTCCGACTTCCGAATGCAGAGTTGTGGATTAACACTGCTGAGGAGTCTCATAATGCGACAAAACCGCTATCTAATGCTTCCAGGTTTTCAATGGTTGCCTAGCTAAGATTAATTCGTGATTTAAACTATGAGAATTCTTCAATCTCCAGAAATCCCTTATACTAACATATTTATAATAATAAGTTAAACTAAAATATATTTTGTAAATAAACAATGCTACATAGTACACTTTATAGGCTTCAAACCTCGAGACTATAACTTTGTTTCTCTTTCCTGGAAGATACTAGGGTTTTCTCAAATTATGGTATCGAGACTAAATGGTTTAAAATTGGTTGGTATTATATACATAGACGATTCCGTTGTTGAATGTGACTGAAGATGTGATTTACTTGGTATCATTTAGATATTCATATAGATTACTCAGTCTAGTGGTTTAAAGACTTTCAACATTTTATCTAACTTAGATCACTTGATTGTTTGCTGTCAGATCACAGTTAAATAAAAGCTCATCTAGAGACCCGAAGTCTCTTTAACTAAGAATAACAATGTAATTTGTTTATTGATAATCAAACTTCGGTATTTAATCATAATAACTGTGACCACTTGATGGTGGTTGGTTATATGAATTAAAAGCTAACGAAGCCAATTGGCTTAAAGACAAAAATATTTATGAATAAATAAAAAGTCGACAAAGTACATAGCTTTCTTAGTCAATTAATATATGGTTATGAGCACTGGACATTTCGGGGAAGAGAGAGAGCAATGTATAGAAAAAATTCATCGCCTGATACCTTGTTAGTTTTATCTTAGTGAAAGGGGTAGTGAGTTAAATGGATATCCAACAAGTGATTTTCATTCGATATTACTTACATTCAACAAGGTGAATACCAAAGCTGGTACAAGGGTACGATTCATATTACTATGTAAAAAAATAACCCAATGAGAAAGTAAATCAAATTATTAGATACTAAAAATCAAAATGCACAAACATAAACAAACTTAACTTACTTTCCATTCTTTTTTTAAATCAGAGTGCCATCCAATTAATTCTTCACGACTGCGTTCAATATTTTGCAATGCTGTTGATGAATGAAATAAAAACAGGATAATGACTTACCACCACCTCGTCCAGTACGAAAAGATGATGGCATTTTACGATTTGATGTCAAATTTGTAGATTTCACCTCTTCAGAATTACCTTCTTTTATAACATCTGAAACATTACGTTTAGAAGTTCGATCATTCCTTTTAGGTTGAACTGAAAATATATCATGCCAATTTTCATAGCGTAATGCTTGTACAAGTTGATATAAGTATAAAATAAGTTCCTAAATGGATAGATGGAAGTTCATATTATTGTTTTTACATTCAGGAAAAAACAATACAAAACAATTATGAAATACAGATTCGTAAACCGAGGTTTGATGCCCGTTTGTTGAGTGAAGGTTATCTTCAACGAAGTACATGAGAGATTTTATTCGTTTAACCAGTGTTCGGAAGACATCAAGTTCACTACAATTACGTACCAGCAACACAAAAACCATTGCATATACTGTTTACGGAGACCTAACACCTGATGACGGATTACTTTTAAAAAATGAAGAACTATGGTCTGGAATGTATAAAATAACCCAAAAAAGATATAAACATAAATATAAGAATAAATCCCAATTGTTAATCAATGTAGTGTGTTTGATGCTATTTCTTTTGTGTAGTATGAACCAGTGGCCTTCGGGTTCATTTTTGACTCTTTAGGTAAGTGAAATCAACTCTTGAAGTTAGGACAGTTCTTTAAGTAAGCTAACATTTCCAAGGAATGTTTAGTTCTAGCAACAATAAAAGCCCTCTTCTATGTTTCAAACCAGTATTAGAATTGGACAATGTTGATTTAACTCAATAACAATGAACTTGAAAAAGACCTGTTGCTTTGATGTGGAGACCACATTGTTTAAATTAAACAGTTATGACGTATAACAATGTCACAGTAACAGACGTAATATTTATAACAAGATTAAACCTCCTAACTTGGAAAGTTTGTAATTTGATAAAGGTTGTGAAAAATATTTGATACACAGTTTATATATCTCTATTAACTTCCATCAAGTTCAGTCATTTTGTAGAGTGAGAATGCTAAAAGTATACTAAGGTGACAGTCTTGAGTAAACCAATCAAAATTAAGATAGCACCTTATAGAGTTTTGCGAGAAGTTGAAAATGAAATACAGGACAGCTTAAATGTTATCAATGATCCAGTGAAAATAGGCAATATTTTGTTTCCGAAATGCTTGAAATTGATAAAAAGGAATATCTCCTATGCAATCAAACAGTGATATTTAATGTAATAAGAAGACGAAGATTATCAGAACTATGTGACATATTAGCGTGATACATTTCGAACAATCTGATCACACATAAACTTGTTAAGAACATTTAGATATAAATAGTATATGTATGATCAGATTGTTTAAAATGTACTGCGCTAATATATCTGATAATCTTCGTCTTCTTATTACATTATCGAAATTTATCAAAGGGACTAATTGCTTTGAAGTGACATTCAAGCCAAATTACAAGAAATACCTGCTTTGAAGCAGATTCAGTTAATATACTTCAAGTGACTTAATGCATAGTCAAGAGTGTTTGTGCAGCTACATAGTGAACTTCTGACTCTAAATATCAACCATACGTTTTCTAGGTTTGTAAACGAAAAGTTAACAAAGCATTATTGCGCTCGTGGCGCAAACTCACAACATTAGCCCGACATATAAAATGTGACTTAATTTACTTTCCTTAATATAAAGAATAATTAAACATGTAATGGTCAATTATTCATATCAAAACTACTATTCCACTGTAATTTTATTAATTATTTTTACAAACAAACATAATTCCCTAATTGGCTGATAAGTCGCTCAAGATCTTCAGTATAATAAACTTTTACTGTGAGATCTAATAAGCAAGTTACATACCCATTGATTTGAAAATAAAATCTAGTAGAAAAAGCCTTAGACTAGTTTTCCGATCTCTCGAACTTAATAAGCTGAACCAGTTAGCGGTTCATCAAGTAAATATCTTAGCTACTCCTTTCTTGTTAAACTCTTATTTATGTTTTCGTTTATTAAACTACAGGGACAAAATGGTTAATATCATTAATAATAAAAATATATTGATATTTAAGTGAGTAGAAATTTGGACATCTCGTAACTTGATTCAAGCCAATTCTTCAGAGGTAATGAATAAACGACTAGATTAAATATTTAATTCAATATAAATCAAAGTCAAAATAGGTCTGGTTATGTCAATGTCGATCGAATCATCGGTCAATGTCATTCCGTGCATCCACTCTTTGTGTTCTCCTAAATTCTAATCTTCTGAATTCTTCATGTCCCTTTCTTTTTTCTCTTTCCAAATCCATTTCACTGGATTATACTCCTTGAATAACGTCTTCAAACCCTAATTTTTCTGATTACAGCTTATAATTTTACTACATCTAGCACTACGGGATTTGAATCGACCTCTGCATCTCTGTGCTAATGTGGTGTGGCAACTCGAACTGATGTACGTACGTACGAAGTTCTAAGTTGTTACTGACTGACTGACGTGTGAGAAGCATCACCGGGTATATTTGTGAATATGCTAATGGATACGAAAAATGTACAATTTGTAATGTGGAAGCGTACAATTGAAATTTGTGTGTTCATTATGTGAAAAATGATTGGAGTCAAATGCGATCGGTGAATAAATGATTCAAGTTCCTTCCTATTTAAGTTTGAGAAATTGAGCACTGTATGAAACGTCTGCCACTCGCCTTTCTTTTTTTGTTGAAAAAGCTTTGAATTGCTTTGATATTTTTGTTAAAGATCTGGTTGTTAGTAAATATAGCATCTACTTCTATTACCCATATAACTATTAAATTTCTCCAGTTCAGCAAGCTAAATTGAGAATTAAAGACGAATAAGTAGTAACTACAGTAATCTATTCAGATTACATGGGAACACCGTGAAGAGCTTGAAGGAATATCTATTGATAATGGTAAGACGAACATAGCTTATAGTGACAAAACCAGCATTTACTAACATTCAAGCAAGCCAAACTGAAAGATTCAACAACAGAACCCTCTATCTACAACAAGTCATTAATACTCTATAACATTGCTAAATAAATAATTACAGTTCTAATACGAATATTTGAATGATAAAGAAGTCTTAGACAGTTTAAGGAAACAATAGTTACATACCTCATCACTGGCAGCTTCCAAACGGTGTACAGCAAATCTTCTACCGGCAGGATGAAGAAATTGACGAGTGAATAGTTCTAGAACATGTTCAGGCGCTATTTTTGGCCATTGTTTTAACAATTCAACGGCTTGATTCACTTGTTCTGTATATTCCCAACGAACAGATAAAATGAATTTCGCTAAAGAAGTCTGTAGAAGATATAAAAAGGATAAACAGTCCAACTAGTTTGAGTAGGGCTAATGCACAGAGAATCCTAATATAAAATTTTAGTCTAACTCTCTCTCCTAATATATTTAAGTATACCCTTGCTAAATATCATCTGACCATATTTGTATATTATGGTTTCCAAGCCTGCTTACAGTTCCTTCCACTGGTATTCCTTATATAATAACTTTTCTCTTTAATGAGTAATTGACATTATTTTTAACTGTGTTTCTATTGTATCTGAGACTTACTTTATGATTGGTTGTTCTGATATTTTACAAATGACCAAGACCAATGAAGCTTAGCCATTTAATCTCTAACTGAACCTTCAGCATCTGTGGAAATACTTTGTCAGCAACCAACCCGCCAAAACAATCAACTAAGACAACTAGTACATTTCCTTTTTTTAAACCAAGTGATAAAGATAACACTCACTGCAAAATATTATATCTATTTGATTTTAAGTGCAGATATTCTCAAGCTTCTAGTTAACGTATTCAGGGGATTCTATTTTATCGGCATTCTTGCAATAAACGACAACTCTCTACAGACTAAATACGGATGAATAAATTCGAATACAACATTGGAAAAAATTGTATACTTTTTCTAGCAAGATTCGGTCACTGCACCTTTCAATCGAAGGAAATTTAAAACGAAATTCAAAATCAGAATTTAATATAATTTCTCATAATATTTTGATTTTCACAAGTATGTCTAAAGAGATTAACACGTAAACTGCTAAATCAATTGTTGCCTTCTTATTTGAATTGTATTATGACACGAATATAAAATACAGAAACGTTAATTTAATAAACTAAATACCAGTATCTGAAGTTAGAAATTTTAAAAATCGAGTTTTTGTCCACAGTTTCAGTGGTAAAACATAATACGACAGTCGCGCTTTCAAACATTAGGATCACCTGATTTTAAACTGTACAAATACAGGAGTAAACATTCCCATTTTAGATTTGTTTTAACTGATCAATTATGAATGATAACCGAATCCATCCATAGGATTTTATGAAATTTTTATCTACTTTATATAAATACAAATTTTATTACAAAGAGGAGCCAGAATAAATATGCCCCACGATAATAAGATGAGGCCGCGAAGGGATACAAAAATGAAGGTGAGTAGCATAAAAGAAACAAAAGCCAAATAAAAAACAAACGAGAGCAGTAAATAATGGGAGAAGCAGTTCAGTTAAGAAACATATAACAAGGAAGGATTCTTTAAGATACAGAAGTTCCATCTATAAGACTCCAATTAAGGAGTCTTGAAGGACCGACAGATTCCGATCCAGTGGTTTTTTTCATACCACGATGCCATATCATACACTGACAACTACACCTCTTTTTCCAATCACTTTCTGCGTTAGTAAATAATACAAGATGCGGAACTGATTGAGACGATATTTGTAGTACATATCCAAGTCACTGAAGTCAGTGCTTCATGATTGTGCAAGAACACATTCTGACGAATCTCTAAATCACTAACATGATGTTGCCTTTGGATGTCAGTAATCATCCAGAGACAACGATGATTAAACACAGAGTCATCTAACATTCTCAAATTGAAGAGGTCAGGTCTCAAAAGTATAGAGCAAAACTCCGCTCATCGACGCGTTGTAGATCCGATATTTTGCAGCCAGACTAACATCACGAAAGCACCAAGGATGGTCCACATTTTCATAACCCACTCTGGCTTTTGCCATACGTGAATTGATCTCATCACTCACGCCACCACCAGCACTTACGCATTTACCGAGATACACGAACTTCTAGACTAGTTCTATTGTAGTGAACAGAACACGAGTGGGGACAATCGAATTTATCTAACAATCTAATAGTAAATACGTAATTTGCAAAATGTCCATCGATTTTCTCATAATGACTCAGGCTTCATTGTTCTAGTATTTTCATACAAAATGCATTCTGTTTCCATTCTTTACTGTTCGATCCTCTTGTTTTTCTGCTGCCAAACCTTCTGTTTAGGAATAACATCATATACTACTTATGTCAATATAAGTAGCACACACCACACTGTCTGTTAAATACCCAGGTTGAGTGCAAATTCAGGGTTCTCCCAGTCTTGTAGAAGTACTTTACACTTAAGAGGTTAAAAACATATGCCATACCTACGAACAGTGATTCGCAATTGATTAGGCGCGAGCTGCGTGGCTTGGGTAGTATCGCACAGTGAAACAATATCATCCGCAAACTCAAGGACGAAAACACTTCCTCCTGACAAAAGATCCATATTACTAATACCTGCTTCCAACTACAAGTTCTTAATTATTGGAAAACTTACTCAAAATTACTACGGTAATTTGCATATTTTCCTCCTACTTCGTACTTTGAGGGATCGAAGCCCGACCGAAGCTGCTACCTTGACGTGGTGGTCGGGCTTGCCTATCGTGATGACCCATCCGAGCTATATTGGCTGGAACATATGTTCCTGTAGGTTCTACCATGCCAGGCAGGTCGATTGGTGAACGGTAAGACTAAAAGCAGCAACTCAAAGTCTGAGGGCGAAGTCGTACTGCTGACTGTACAGAGGTGTGACAGCAGTAAGGTGTTTCCTTCGGACAATCAGCATGACAGCGATGCTGCCTTCCCACAAGGAGGGGTGGGGTTAGAAAAGGTCGACCCTAAAAATGTCACACCTCACCTTACCTCACGGATTTCCGTCTCCGGCGGTAAGGCCATCTGAAGAACGGAGCTAACACGTCAAAAACCTACAAAAAGGCCGTGCGCGACCGGCCTCAAGCAGTTGTCCCTTGGGCTCTGCGGTCACGCTCCCAGGTCGTTAAGACCAACACTAATCCAATTTCCTTTTCAGGTTCCTCAAGAAATACCCTTCCACGGTGTGGGCAGCCGGGAAGTGACATCAGCCCTCATACCCGTAACAGCACGCGAGACCAAGTTGGTCACATTCAAATCCTTCCTACACCTTCTAATACCTCTCTTATCTCCATGACTAACCCTCCTCACGTTTCTTTATCACCTCGCACCGCTAGGGCAAACGATTCGAGTACGTGGAACTCTATTCCTGGTCTCCTCAAACCACGCTCTAAACTACACGTAGGAGCTTTTAACGTCCGAACACTGTGCCAAATAGGACAACAGGCTTCCTTAGCTAGGACTTTAGAATCTCGCGCCATCGATGTGTGTTGCGTCTCCGAAACGCGCATACAGGATCCAAGTAGCATCATTCATTTGACCTCACCATGCCAAAATAAAGAACCGACTCGATTTACGCTTCGTGTATCTGGAAGCCCTGATTCTGCTTCCCGTGGCCTCGCCGGCGCAGGTATAGCTTTGAGTCCTAGGGCAGAACTAGCTCTCTTAGAGTGGATCCCAGTAGACAGTCGTTTGTGCGCTGTCCGGCTGAACGGAACAGTAAGAATCCGGAAAGATAGGGACACTCGTCGTTGCCTCTTCGTCGTCTCTGCCTATTCTCCCACTGACTGCAGCTCAGATGATGTAAAAGATGAGTTTTACAGAAAGCTTTCGGACCTTCTCCGAAAAGCTAAGCGCTCGGATGTAGTAATAGTGGCCGGTGACTTTAATGCTCAAGTAGGTAAACTAAGCGATAGGGAAAGACACCTGGGTGGATCTTATAGTATCGTGGCTCAAAGAACAGATAATGGCGACCGTCTGTTGCAGCTATGCTCAGATAATCGCCTGTTCCTTGCAAATACTAACTTTAAGCATAAGGAAAAACATCTTTTAACATGGCGACCCCCTAATTCGTCCCAACGTTGGACCCAAATAGATCACATCGCTATCAGCCACCGATGGAGGGGCTCGATAGAAGACTGTCGCTCATTCTGGAGCACATGCCTAGATTCAGATCATGCTCTAGTACGAGCGCGTATTTGCCTGCGTCTTACTGGACGTAGGAAAACCGCTACAAGGAAACCTCTTAGGGGCCTACTTAATGATAGTCAAGCTAAGAGTATATTTCAGGAACAACTAGGAAAACAGTTAGGCAGCCATGTATGTGATGCCCACCCCGAGGCAGCATGGAATGATATCCGAAAAGCTGTGGAAACAGCAGTGGTATCTGTTAGTAAGGTAAACCAGAAGGTTAGGGAGCAACACTGGATCTCAGCAGCATCTATCGCACTGATAGATGCTCGGAAACTCATTCCACCTGGCTCTGAACATAGTGAAGAGCGGAGTCAGCTTAAGCGCAAACTGACAAGAAGTCTACGCAATGATCGCGAACAGTGGTGGGTAGCGAAAGCAAGAGAGATGGAAAAGGCAACGGCAATAGGTAATAGCAGACAATTGTTTAGACTCGTTAAGGAAACCGGAATTAGGAACCCGACTGTTAGCGAAACAATCTCAGAGAAAGATGGACATATTATTCATTCTCAATCCAGGAGATTGGATCGATGGGCAGAACACTTTAGGGATCAGTTCAACTGGCCTTCAGCCACACTTCGGTTTCCCACGATCTCCAGTCAACCTGAATGGCAAGTTAATGTAAGTCCTCCGTCTCTTTATGAAGTTGAAAAAGCCATAGGAAATCTGAAACGAGGGAGAGCAGCAGGCCCTGACAGGTTTACTCCTGAGATTTTTAAGGATGGTGGTCCAGTATTAGCAATGAGATTAACCGAGGTTTTAGGTAGAATTTGGGAACTGGACGTAATCCCATCTGACTGGTCTCAATCACTGATTGTGCCAGTTTATAAGAAAGGACAAAAGTCCTCTTGTGACAATCACAGAGGAATCAGTTTGACTAATTTAGTGTCTAAAATATTAGCTTCAATAATACTTCGACGCCTAATCAAAGCTCGTGAAGAGCAGACTCGAGAAAATCAGGCTGGTTTTCGACCTGGACGTGGTTGTATAGATCAGATATTCACACTACGTCAGGTTCTAGAACACAGACACACGTTTAGACGCCCCACAATGGTAGTATTTCTCGACCTTAAGGCGGCATTCGACTCTGTTGATCGTAAGGTTCTATGGCAGTGTTTGTCACTGAAAGGAGTACCAAAGAAGTACATTAACCTTATTCAGGCTCTCTACTCGAACACAACTGGTAGAGTGAGAGCTTATGGCGAACTGTCATCAGAATTGATTACCTCAAGTGGTGTTCGTCAGGGCTGTCCACTCTCCCCATTCTTGTTCAACTTTGTGGTCGACGTACTTTTAGAGATAACACTCTCCTCATCTAAATTTCCGGGGGTTGAACTTCTACCGGGAGGTTCACTTGTTGACTTAGAATATGCTGATGACATAGTTTTATTTGGTGAAGACGCTGACAAAATGCAGAGTCTTCTGACCACTCTAAGCAACAATGCAAGCATGTTCGGGATGCGATTCTCTCCCTCGAAATGCAAAATGTTGCTTCAGGATTGGGTTACATCGACACCCGAACTAGTGATAGGGAGTGAAGTAGTTGAGTGTGTCGACCGCTTCACTTATCTTGGAAGTCTCATCAGCCCTTGTGGTCTGTTGTGTGACGAAATCTCAGCACGGATACAGAAGGCTCGACTAGCTTTTGCCAACTTGCGTCATTTATGGCGTAGGCGAGATATCCGTCTACCAACCAAAGGACGTGTTTACTGCGCAGCAGTTCGTCCCGTCCTACTTTATGGCTGTGAAACATGGCCAGTAAGAGTAGAGGATATTCGTAGGTTACTAGTATTTGATCATAGGTGTCTTCGAAGTATTGCTCGTATATCCTGGGACCACCGAGTAAGTAACGCAACTGTTAGGAAACGGGTACTAGGTAAGGATGGCAAATCAATTGATGAAGTAGTGAAACTTCATCAGTTGAGATGGCTGGGACACGTGTTACGTATGCCCAACCACCGACTACCTCGACGTGCTATATTCAGTGGTATAGGAGTAGGTTGGAAGAAAGCTAGGGGCGGCCAGACCAAAACATGGCACAAATCCATGAAGTCACTGACAAGTGGACTGAGTCATGTTGGTAGGTGTAGACTACCTGGTTGGGGACCGCGAGATGATAGCAACCGATGGTTAGAGACCCTGAATGACATGGCTCAAAATCGTTTGCAATGGCGCAGGTGCATCCACTCTCTATGTTCTCCCAAATTCTAATTATCTGAATCCTTCATGCCCCTTTTTTTCCTCTTTCCAAATTTATTTCACTGGATTATACTCGTTAAATAACATCTCCAAACCCTAATCTTCCCGATTACTGCTTATACTCTTGCTACCTCTACCACTACGGGATTTGAATCGACCACTGCATCTCTGTGCTAATGTGGTATGGCAACTCGAACTGATGTACGTACGTACTAAGTTCTACGTTGTTACTGACTGACTGACTGAGGGATCGAAGGGTAATTACATTGGGATTCATACGCCTATTATATGATGGATAAAGATAATACCTGTAATAGATGGTTTCAACTACTCATCAACTATTTTTAAGAAAAAAAAACGTTTCCGATTAAAGACAAATTCCAGTGATCCGTTATTGCAAAACATTTATGAAATATATATTTTTGAGTAATTACAATTTGAATTTACGTTAACGATAAATTTGTCGTAATACTCCATCATTCCTCAATCAGAAAATTTATGATATTGAATAAAGCAATTATTATCATGATCACTCTTTAATATGCCGATTTGAATCGCAGCATTGATCCAGTAATCTACAGAGCTGAATCACTGCCTCCTAGTTTACATTAAGTATTCGATTTAACATTCGTTTATATGACCCAGCTATAGAGTAAGGTCTAAAATCCAACACTTAAAATGTAAAATGTTTTATTATAAATAGGTAACAATAAATCTTACTTCAGGGAATTTGTCAGCTAAATAAAATCGATACTTCCAGATAAGATCCCCATCTGACTCGGATATATTTAATCCTGGTGGCAAATCAAGGATAAGCTTAATGAATGAAAAGAAAATTAATTAAGAGTTTATAGTGAGAGATCTAGTTCAGCGATTACGTGAAAACTAAATTAATTGAACTATGAACAAAAATAAATTGAATCAATTAATCAGTGACTAAAATTGGGTGATAATCAAAACGTCTGAAGTGAAGAGTATTTTAAGATCACGTCACTTCGTATCATGTTGCAAATTTCTCGTGGCACAGACTGATTTGAATTGTGAGCACTTGCGACTTTCTATCTTCCACCGTCAATTTTAAAAATCTAAAGGACAAACCTTAAATGCAACGTTTATACATAACAACCAAAATAAAAGAAATTGAGTCAGGATAGCAACTATTGGGTATAATACATCAAAGATATTATTTAAATTAGGGTGAAATGGAACGTGTTAAAAGAACCGATAAAATAAACATCGGAAGACCGTCGTGATGGCGCAAAAAAAGGAACGATGCCTAGGGTGAAATAGTTTGAAACCCTAGATTCAAGTATTCAAAGGGATAATTATTATGATAGTAAGTGAAATAAGCCATCTACAGCCAATAAACAATCTCTAACAATATTTTACAGCTTAGTATATACTAAATTATCTTTATCAATTGAAATGAAGAAATAATATTGTTATTATTTGACAGTAGTAAAATTTCCATCTAAACACTAAGAGCACGAAGTTTAGAGAAGAGTCTAGTCGTCTCCATGTGGATCTATCAGTTCGCCTGCTCTTGTAGATTAAGGTACATAGGCATTAGTCAGAGCTTGCTTTCAACTCAGATACGAAAACATGTTCCAGTATGGTTTTACAGAGATGAGGGGAAAACTTTCAATTCTATTCTAAAACATGTAATTCATTCTAACCATTCCACTGATTCACAGGTTGACTTTAAGGTTGTTTATAGAATTCATCTAAATATACCAGGATTTCTTCGTATTCAATCCCTAGAAAAGGGTAAAGCTGTCATCATCCATGAGATGAAACGTGCATATACAAAAGTACGTCTTATTGTTGTCATTACCATGAACTTTAACTATTATTTTTACTCTATTTTCATTTTATTGATTTCATATTTGAAAATCTTTCTCTTTCCTCAATTATTTTTTGTATCCCCATGATTTTATTCATAACTGTTTCTGATATCACTTCATTTCATTTAACCCCTCTAAGACCTTTGATTATTATGACAAAAAAAACATTTTAATTATTTTATTCCATTCACATTATAAATAAATGTTAACGTATTCATTCTACACGGCTTTTTATTTGTACACAGACATTCTTTTATTATTATTATTATTTACACTAAATAATCTAGTTTTACAACCATTATGTTTATTCAATATTCACATGTCTTTATTAAATTAATACTTTTAAAAAAAATCTCACATACTGTACAGCTTGATAATAAATTCGTTGAGAAGAGATCTCTTCGCTGAACTTCGTGTTTTAAATAATATTTAGTAAATTCTATATATGTCAATATTATTAGAGATTTACGAAACAAAATAGTCTTACAGTTAATTATAATTAACTACAATCACTCAACACCAAGAACGATCTTATGAAATCTTAAATTGTGATGTCGTTTAATCTACTTACATTAGTGAAGCTGAGAAGTATTTATATTACGTGTATTCTAAAGTCTAGTACATAAATAGTAGCCTGATTTATTAGCAGTTATTTAAAAATGAAAACTTGACAGATTTGAATTAATTATAGGTTGTAACCTCTACAGCAACAATGAAAAACCAATTTGATCAAGCATTTAACTGTTGATATTCATGCTCTGTTAACCAGGAAATATAATAAAAACAGTGATAAACAAACAAACAAATAAATAAATAAATAAGATGAATAAACTGACTTTCAATCTATCTAATATGTCTTTATTAGGTTTACGTGCACGATCCACGTCAGCTGTACGAGCATTACGTGTCATTTTAAAATATTTTTCATCTACTGGATTCCACTGGAGGAAAAAAGAAGTGAAAATTGTTTCTGACATAATTAACAATAATTCTCAACAACTCATAAAACATAATATAAATAACACATAAAAGAATCAAAATGATCATATGTCAATGTTTTCATAAAATATTAATCCAAGTAACCTCATATTTTGTATGGAATCAAGGAGTATTAAAAGCCTAATAAGACCCTATCAGATAAAATAATTCCCAGTCATACAGTCCCAGTCACATTATAAGATCGGTTGGCTAAGGGATGCACTAAACTGTCAAATTGATTAAACTAAGTGCCTAGCTTAAAACACTAACTGCTAACTGACTTTCATTTCATTTCAATGACAAAGCCCGTTCTTCAATTATTCACAAGCTGAGTTTTTCAAGAATTGCCTTCGCTACGTCGGATCATTTAATCACAAAGCTCTGATTGAATTTCTAAGCAATATCACTAATACAAACCTAAAAAAAAAGAATTAATTTCCTAGTATTTCTCTACAAATAATTAACAGATTATTTGGTTGATAAGATATATGATTGCATGTAACGAGTAATTGTGATATCACTGTTTCGACATACTATTTAATTACCACTTTTCCCAGGCATACCCCTAACTTCTTATTTGATTATCATTCTTCTAATCGACAGATAAATTGGGTTTATTTAAATTTATTTAAAATTGAACTGGACGCTACTCAAAACGTTGCTTGTAAGTAGTATATTACGGAACATGGTCTCGAAGTTGTCGGACGGAATGAAGAGTTTCAGGACAGAGAAAGTATGACGTTGGAAGAACACTTGGAGACCAGACGAGAAGAATGTTCAGAATTCAAAACATACTAAAAGACGAAAATGGACGATCTAAGGCAATGTATAGGTAGTACGTAAATGCTTTGTAATTTCTCCCAATAAGTATAGACTCTTTCAGCCTATTGTCATCTTTCACATTAGATGCTGAATGGCTTAGGCGTTTAGCTTAAGGAGACTCTCCAGTCTATTTTGTATTGCTTCTATTTACAATTTGCAGTAACCTTTCAGTGTCCATAATCGCCTATGCGCTATAATATGACCGAATATATCTTGCGACGTTTATTGTTAATGCAAATTTCTGTAAACAGGTAGGCTACTCTGTCTATTACTATTGATTAGAGTTGTAGATGACATTCAGTTTTTTCTATAAGTATTTCAGTTAGGACACCGGATAGGTCTGTGACAGAAAATTGTCACAAAAATTAAAGAAATATATATGAGCAACATAAGTATAAGACAAAGTGTAGTTCCGATTAGTATGAGTAGTAGTAGAAATAGTACCGTCTATAAAAATTTAAAAAGCGGTCGGCTACCATTCAGTTAGGAAATACAGGCAGCTTATCATTCCAGTTTTTGGTGGAGTTTTGTTCTCTGAGCTGGATGCTTTGGTCGTGGAGCTTTCATCGTTCTTCTGAACGACATCAGCACAAACTTCAAATAGTCCAGCTCAGAGAACAAAACTCCACCAAAATCATCCACCTGAGCTACAAATCTTCTCCACCATCTCATTATCATTCCAGTATTTACCATGAAGCTAGTAAGATAAACAACTGATCAGCTTCTGTGAGTAACGAACCAACAATTAGTCCATGTTCAAGGCTGTAAGTCACATTTATTTCACGAAAAAAACATTTGTTTAACAATTATTTTTTATGAATGATGTAATTTTATCATAAAGCCATGATTAATTAACAAGAGTGTCTTGAATGAAGAAATATAAGCAGACAACAACTCACTCGATCAGCTCGTAATTCTGACTGTTCAGGCAGAAACTACAGAAGAAAAAAATGAAACAAGTATGACAATGTGAAAGAAAATTCTTCGGGATACAAAGTCATAATAACTGATTCCAATATTATTTAGCTGTGTTAGTTACAGTGGTTTAACTAATTTTGGAAAAAAAGTACACAAAATTATTGCAGTGTTGTTTAGTATGGGTTTTACAACTTAGAACACAAATCTAGTGGACAAAATGGAATTATTCGAATAATTTGACGAAAATCTGATGATCTACGTATGTCTTGCAATTAGCATATATATGTTAACGCTCCATTTCTATTCTACTTTAACAATTAACCCGATAGCAGAATGTGAAATAGTTTATTTTTACTAATCACATGAATGTAATCCAGTTGTTTATCGAAAGTAGGCAACATTAGAACACTACATAAACCGAATTCCTTCAAAATAATAGTATTTTGTGATGGATTTAAGTAAGGGTATTGATCAAAGTAGATTACGTCATGGAATTTCACTAACAGTCGATAGGGATATCATAAGACATTAGGGAGAAATTGTTATCATTAAAACATTCACAAATTTTATTATTATAAAATTGAAACTAATTTTTATTCCACTTTTTTTCAGATTTTTCTCACTATACAAGATAATAGCTAAGCAAGTCATGCAGCGATTTTGATTCGCAAGAGTGCACATTTAATTACTTTATGAAAATATTAAGCTCGTAACCATCGAAATAACAATGAACAAATATGCGAGAGTCTAAAATGTTGTGGAATACATATGGCATTCACTACCCGATATTACAATCATTTACAGAACTATTAATTACTTTTGTGGCTTATGGTATTTTATGTAAAGCAGGCATGTAACCTATGAATCAATATTTAGACGCCAAATCCTTTGACGACTGAACCAGAACATTTTCAGTGAAGATGTAATTACTTTTTCAGATCATTTCACATAGCGAATGCCTTAGTCGTCTCTTCCTTGATTTGTTTTAACAATTTTATTTACACAAAATTTTAAAAAAAAACAGTAAAAACTTACTGGACGCTGAAATATTACAGGCATATACACAGATGGATAGCTTCTTGAAAACTCAAATTTTACACTAAGGAATAAACGTCCACTAGCTCGTTTCGCCTCATCAACCGCATGTTCCACATCTGGCATACAATGTCGATCTAATGGTGTTTCTAACAATTCATTACGAAGATGTTTACGATTCGTCTAGTAGAATAGTATGTATAGAGAAAACCATTAGAAAAGTACATAAACAGTTACGAGGAAGAGATTAATTAGGATTGAAATCATTTTTTTCGAACTTCTGTCAAAACTTCCAACAACATTTTTTTAGTTCAATATAGTTTTTAGTCCAATCCCCTAGTAAACATAAATGAAAAGTGATTTTCTGATTACAAATATCTGAATAATTTTCTGTGTAACAGTGATCGTAATTTATGCAAAGATATAAGTGATGTTATCGAATTCATTAGAAGCAAAGCCATTGATGATAGTGAAGCAGATTTAGCTATCGTTTGGAGAGGTCTCTTAGTGGTTAAAGCGTCTAACATTCAAACACTAAGTCTCAAGCCCTAACCCTGCTCCAATTACTTCTATTTGGCAACTATGTAGTATCACTAGCTTTTACACAGAGTGAGAGTCAAAGCTGAGGAAACTGATCTGTACCTGATAAAAAATTTAAGTATATCAGTGATTAGCTTTCCCCATTTGCTATTCGTACTATCTTATATGTTCCTTTCATTTACAGTGTTTTTATAATCCCTCTTAGTGCTCACATCTTCTAAAACTTAAGTCACGGATAAATAATAAATAGGATGCAAAATAATGACGACATATGTGTCCGTGTTTCCATTGGAAGCAGACTGATGAAACTACCCAGGTTTCTAAGCCTCAGTAAGCGAAGGATTCAAATCACTGATTGAAAACCGACCACCTATAGTGAAGGACAATAGCATAATAATTAAATAAATATGCGATTAAAAATCTGGGTCTTAAGTATAAGTATACTACCCTACTCCCTACTCCAAGCATACGTTACAAATAAAATTCTAAACAAACTTAAACACTCATCAAATCGATTAAGAAAAATTCAACAAAAATGATCAAAAAAGAAAATGATTTTCTTTCTGAAATGTCCTTATTAAAACCAAATTAAACTAAAGAGCAACGGAAACTTTGGAAGCTAAAAATCCCGTGAACACTAACAGAAATTGTTTAGCTATAGAGCACCACCTGCGGTTTAGACAACTGGATATTTATCACTAAGCCATAGGTTCGAACTCCAACTTGTTCATTCATCATTCACCAAGTACATGCTTGTGTACATGCCTTTGAGCTACACTTGGTGTGTGAGAGTTAGCAATACTAACATATTGTTTAATCCAAGGAAGCCATAGTGGGATTCCAAACCGTGATTTATTAGTCGGGAGCCAAGTGTTTTCACAACTGTCAGCGTTCTCCGAATCATGATTCAATCTATTTCAAACCAAGAAGTCAGGTAACACTATCAAAGATCATTGCATCCAATTAAATAGAATAAGAAAGTACTTATAGATACTTTGTTTTTATTGTCATAGTAAAAGATGAGAAAACTCAATAAAAAATGTCACTTTTATCACAAACCTTAAGGATCTGATTCATGGTATCCATATTCGAAGGTTTTGAGTCAAAAGTAGGTTCCCTCACTAATTTTTCAACATCCTCTAGTCGATAAACACCTAACGGTTCCAAAGGATGTAATTCAAGTTCGTAAATTCCTTGTCGAAATACTCTGAAAATTATTTAAATGTTTAATATATATATATATGCATTTGTTTTTGTGAACAGTTTTCCAAGTAAACGATATAAAGTATGTTAGATATCCAATTTAGGAGAAATCTACAATACTGGTAGGTTATGAGGCATATTTACTAGATATCATAACTAGATAGTAGAACGGTGGGTTGATTAAAAGAAAACAACTAAATCTTGCTTCCATTACTTCGGTTTAGGCAACTGGGTACTATTAATGATCTTCACACAAATTGTGTCTTGAAGTCGCATACACAATTATGTAATTGATAACTAGGTTACATCTAATTAGCCAATTAACAATTAAATCAGAATAGTTGGGTTAAATTCTCTCAGTGTTACAAGTTGACGTTTCAATATAATGACACCGAACGTTTACATTACAAACATGATCTTGCAGTTTAGTCATATCAGAGTCATACACGGGTACAAAAATAGTATGATTCGCTTATATATTTTAGTTCACATAATACAGTAATTGTAGGTAAATGGAAGTTGCTATTAACTTACTTTTTAGAATTATATAATTTCATGTTTGCACCGGCTATTAACTGTTCATGCATACCTTTTTTATCCGTATACGTAGATGACAGGACAAAACAAATTCCATTATAGTCGTACAAGGCATTATATGGTAAGGGTAAATCAAAGGCTTCATTAAATCTAGAAAACAAATCTACACTTGTATCGTTTGTCATACAATTGTCTGTCAAGATTAACTTGTGTTTGAGACCAATTTGTAATAAATGAATTTGATAGGAAAGGGATATCACGTGTGATACAATAATTAATTCGTAATTCACCATAACATGCGAGTGGTGTATATTCACCCTTGATGACTTTATACCGTTCAGGATCGAATCCAGTGATGCTCATTCTATAAATTGTTTGATTAATGACAGAAGGGTTAGTTTACATTTTAATACATGGATAAATAAGATTTTGTTGTCGGTCGTCTGTAGAAGCTGACCCAGATGTTGCCGTCGCTACCACATCACAAGAAGGATAATAACCCAGTGATAGTGATCCCATAGGATGTGAGACACTAAAAATCTGAAATTATAGTTAATAATCATAAGTGTGCACAAAAAACTAAAGTGATTTGTTTATAAAAGTGAGTAACAATTCATGATTTAGATTCTCGAATAAATTATGTTTGGGTAGTATTATAAATCAAAGTGCAACAATGAAAATTATAACCGAGCTCGATGCGTATTGATAAAACTTTATAGAATCTTTAAGTTTGCACAGTCCAACTTATTGAATTAGTAATTGATCACACAAAAAAACTCGAAATTACGAGTTTTGTGTTCCAATAAGTGTCATTAATTCTTACTGTCGTTTTCGTAATACGACTTTGATAAAACAATAAATGCTACCGAAATCGAAATATGAAACCACCGTGAGCGCGACAAACAGAACCCCGAAACTTCCAAACGAAGTCGTTAGGAGAATTAGGAGAGAAAGAATCCTATTATTTTTACCTTACAATAGGGTATTTAATGCGACCATGAAGAGTCTGCTAACGTCCAAGATTTATTGCAGAAGTATGGTCACATTTTCTGAAGGATTTGGTTGCTAATAAAACACAGAATACAAAACGAAAACCCATTTTCATAGAATGAAGCACGCATGTCGAAACAGGTTAAGCAATTAGGGTTTTCTGCTCTTTTCCTCAGATCCCCCAACCTGTTTTACTTTGCTGTTAGTTTAGAAATGAACTCATATAAACACTCAACATTTTTAATCGCCAGTTATAAATGAATATATGTTTTCATTCATCAAGAATATACAATCTATGAGGACATTTAAAACATAAACCACACGATACGCTTAAAGGTTAAACGCTCGCCGCAACGGTCCTGAGTTAGGTCCCATTTTGGATGGCGGTGCGAACTGTGATTTTTGAACCAAAACCCACACATTATACTTTAGCTGTACGCATCTTAGCCGAAGTTTATTTATTTTTCTCGCATAAATGTTGCCATTTTAGGTTTTATAACCTTTTAAGGTTTAGTTTTCACATAAATGACTCTGACAAACCCCCAATGTGATAAGGGTGTTTGCTACCTTTTGACTAAAAATTGATGATCTAATAAATGCAACAAGTGAGACCATAAAATGTGTATTGGCCTAACCTCCTGCTGCCTTTGGACTGAGTAGCAGGCATCGACCACTCTAAATGTACAAAGTGTGCTGCTTTACAGAATTTCTCGTGATACAGGAAGCTATAGAGCTGTTGAGCATCAGGTGGAAAATTCCTAAGGAAAAAGTGAACACAGAACAGCTAATGAATGTCTGTGATGCTATGTCACCGTTGACCCATTTTCGGAACTTTATAAGACTATTACGGCAAAACAGCAAATCCCAACTCAATGATGCACGATGGACTTCAAGGAATAAAAATGAATGCCGGGAAACATGTCATAATACTAGTGACATAGGTAGGGAGCAGAAGTTAGGGGTCCTTGAAACCAAACTGCAAGCTTACAGAAACCCACACTAAAATTTGACCAGTACGAGTAGAACACTATTCAGAGAAACCTCAACTACATTGAAATTGATGTGCTGTACTGTAAAGTGATGATGAAAGATGTGGCCTAACCATCTATCTCCAAACCGATTAACAGAGATGAAAATAGTTTAAACAAAGTAAATCAGGAGCTTAATCGGCTCTAACAGGTTATTTATCAACCATAAACTGGACATTTTTAATACTCTAAAGACGTTTACTCTACAAAAAATTAAAAGGGGATTAAATGTATAAGGACTACTAATAAAACATCCCTTCATACAAATTTTATGCTGTTACTTCATAATACTTTATATTATAAGCCCTTTACATTATACCTGGTTAGTTGCGAACACTAATTACGGTGCATAAAACTGGATTTCCTTTTTTAAAAAACTTAGACCAACACGCTAGATAATAATCAAGGACATATGGACTCAAATTGCATAACTGTATGACTGATTTCATCCCAATGTCAGACCATATTTCAGTCTACCTACCAAGCAAATACTAAACCCTGACACTTGATCTATTGCCTGTCCTCAATGAGAACCGAAAGATAGTCAGTCAGCTCCAACGTAGGACCAGGCACATATATGCATCGGCCCAAGTTGCCACACCTCATTAGCACAACAAGACGAACACCGGATTCATATAAGCGGTTAACTCAATGGTGTAATATATAAAGGAAAGATTTTATGTAAGGATATAGTACAGGAACAAAGAATTAATTCATAGAAAGAAATATATGGGGCGATTTTAGTCTCATAGTTTAAGGGTAAACAGTGTCTACACCGACGCCATTGTGACTGATTCTGAGACATGTTACCAAGAGTCTCCAACCATTGGTTACGATAGTCATGCGGACCCCGACCGAGCAGTCTGCATCCACCAACATGGCTCAGATCAGAAGTTAGTGTTTTCAAGCACTGATGCCACGTTTTGGTTTGGCCGCCCCTAACTTTCTTCCAACCATCACCAACACCGGTTAGCATTGCGCGTCGTGATAATCGGTGTTCAGGCATGTGTAACACGTGGCCTAACCATCTCAGTCGGTGAAGATTCACAACCTCATCAACTGATTTACCATCATTCCCTAATACCCTGCATCTAACATCACTATTATTTGCCCGGTGATCCCAGCAGATGCGAGCAATATTTCTAAGGCCTCTGTGGTCGAACAGAAAGATAGCTTGAATATAATGAATATATATATATATATATATATATATATATATATATATATATATATATATATATATGAATGATGCAACAGTATGGCTGGACACCAGCACTAATATAGAGGATGCCTCCTTAGACTTAAATAAAATCCAAAATACAACCAATGAACTACAGACTTAAACATTAACAACATCGACCTTTTCTAGCACTCAGATTCTTTAATAACCAAGCTACACTTGTGGACAATAGGTATCAAAGTTCATAAACTTATTATAATAGGAAAAATAGTGAATTCCAGAAATCTAGAGTCGACTATTTCTCCAACGGTAGCATTTGCTTCGATTCTCAAGCAAAAGTAACTGTAAGGCGGTCAGCACAGACCTCGTACATCCAGAATAGCGTAAGAATAAACTCCACTCTCGTTCGCAATTTTGACATTGCATTTGGCAACTAACCGAAATGAAGCAGGAATTATTATTTGTTTAATAGTTTAATTCATGAATCAACTGAAGCTAGACCACCATGAGAAACTTGGAAGCACTTGACGGCCGTTGCGTCCTAGTATGAAACTCCTCGGCAGTGTGTATCCACAATCCTGCCTTGTGAGATTCGAATCCAGGACCTATCAGTCTCACGGTCGAGCGCTTAATTACTGGAGCCAGTATCCAATGTTGTTAATGTCTAATTTCGAGCGATCCACGAAGTTAGACCTCCAAGCTGGTGGTAGTAAATTGAAAGTCTAAATACAAAGCCAATTTAAATCTCAGCAAAGTGGCCGAAGGATCCAGCAGTACCTAAGACCGGTTTTGTCATAAGGACTTCATTAAATCGTTGACCGTGAGCTAAATTTGGGAAATAAATCTTCAGACAAGAGTTATCAGCGTACAGATTGCTGCAGTAAAGTTTCAGAGTGGTACACCACTGCATCAATTGAGCTGAATGAACACGATAATTTTTACACAACATAATCCCAATCTCCCCGATTGGGGGACATATAAATCCGTGTAATACATTAGCGTTTTAGATCATTCTTTGAACGTCAGCAAAGGCACAAATATGTCGTGCTTTACCTCCTACTACCATAAGTTGGAACTTGCAAGACAACTTAATATCAACAACTTATTGTAAGAGAATTTTCATTCATTAACATTTGTAGCTAATATGCAAACCGTTAATGGCGGTTGATACGCACAAAATGTATTACTTTAAGACAAGAAAAGAAGTCAGATGCGAATAATTCACCATAGAAAATTGATTATTAACCTGGAAAGACAATATGCAATACTAAGAAACGCAAGTACTTGGAAAACCCGCCTCACCTTCAATGTATAGGTTAATTTGTTTGTGTTCTGGTAGTTTTTTTTTCTATGACATTACAGTATCCTTAATATTAGTTTCTGAGGCTAGCAACGTCTATTCAGATAAGGTGTTATTGTTATTGATCACCGGATGAGAAAGACGCAATATCACCCTGAGTATATTTGATCGTGGTTTAAGAACCTTCATACTATAGCTAAGTTTCCGAATAAGCCTCAAGTGACCCGCGTTATCAAATGCTTTCTATATATATATATATATATATATATATATATATATATATATATATATATATATATATATATATGTATATATATATATATATCAGTCGATATTCCGCAACTTATCAAGTTTAATGTTTATAAATAACTGAAAAAAAGTTGCTCTAACCATAACCATTAGTTTTATAGTCGAAATGTCTTTTGCCTAAAATCTGACTCCGCTTTTAACGCACGAACATGCCGTGAGCATAATTCATCTGTTTATGACTCCACATATTACCTAGGCCAACGCACTTCATGTGACTGATGTAATCGGAAAACAAACATGGGTTGGGAGGCATTCATTAGTCAAGACAGACATTCAAAATAAGAAGTGGAAAAGAACAATGCAAGTGATCCAACTGTGGTATTTGTATGAACTAGTGATTCTTTTGTACCTGATTACCTGCTTATTTAAAACTCTAAATAAAATACCTTCGTTTGTGCTCATCTACGATTATCTGGCTTAAATTGTGCTATTTAGGGAGTTCGTAGTTAGTAGATTAATCCAAATACTTCTAATTATCGTACCAACTTCATTTCATCAAGTAACACATACAAAAATACACTAGAGACACGGGATGAGTAGGATAAGCAATGTACACAAACACTAACATTATGCGATTAATTAACACGGTCAAAATGTGGCTTAGTCTTCAGTAATAAGGGTATGAGGTCTTTCGACCTATATTATTCCTTGCACTTTGTAATACTTTGAAGGTCCAATTTCGTTTTGAATATATCAACAGAAGGTGCTGATATCACGTGTTCTGGTAGGGAATTCTAGTAAATCACTACACGGTTCAAGAAACGAAACTCCACACGTAAACGATTTGATCTCGGTTTTTGAACTTTCTTCGAACACCCTCTCAAACGATCAGTCCTAGACGGAAGTGAAAGGTAACACATGTTAATACTGAACATGATACAGGTTTTCAGTGTTTGATAACGCTATTACCAGCAACACCTTCTAATATAAATTGTACCCACCGAGAGAAATCGAAAGACAGAGTCGAAGAGGTCGGAGGAGTGTATTTGGCGATTACCAATATATCAGAATTCTCTGATCTAATCTGACTAGCGATTGCGGTAGATGTTGAGCACAGCATTACCACACGTGATCCGGTGCGGATGCATAACCGAGCGACTTCAGTTAGATGGGTCTGTAGAATTATGGTCTACTATGATATTAGTACTGCTCTAATAATTGACCTAATCCTAAAATTGTAGATTTGTCATGATATAACTGCCTAATTTATAAGACCTTACGTGGAAGTCACACCATCGACTACACCAACTCACTGTATCGTATCAATTACCAATGCATGATGTAGAAAAAGGTTAGGCTAGAGAAGGAACAATATATTTAATATGAATAGAAGATATAAGGTAACATTCAGATGAACCACGCCTGCATGGCCGAGACATGCCATCCGATCAACTCCAGTCCTTCAATTAACTGTTCCTGCCTTTTCCATCGTTAGGTATTTCTTCGCGTTAAATATTGAACATTTATTTTCCGAGTAATCTCGTATTCAGCTTTGAGGATTGTGTGGTTATGGTCCAATGCCACTACAAGTCCACTAAAACATATGGTCAGCATCCAATGTCGAGAACTTACAGAGCTATTTAGTTTGGGGATTTATTTACCGCTACAACACCAAGGTCATCGTTCAGTATACGACAAGCCAATATTAGATCACCCCGTACTCTACGGTAAAATAACAGGAATAAGTTAAGGTGTCTAAGTCTGTCTTCATAAGATAGGCAAGATAAACCTTGTACCATCTTAGTACCTCGTCGTTGGACTCTTTCCAGCATGTCTGCTCCATACTTGAAGCAAGGACTCGCTGCTTGAATCCCATATTCTAAATGTGGTCGCACATAATTCGAGTATGATAATCTGAACATTTCATCGTCTAAATACTGGAAAGACCTACGAATAGATCATAATACCCCATAGCCTTTCGCAGTAGCAGCTTTGCAGTGACTAGTGGTTTTGAGATCACTGTTTAATATGACTCCTAGATCTTTACAGTTTCTTACTTTGACTAGCATGAATCTTTCGTGCCTATAGGTAACCGTCGTGTTATTGATAGAAAAAGCCAGACAAATTCGTGAATACTTCTTTATTTCAATCTAAGCGCAGTCACAGTGGAGCGTGGGATTATATGTTCAGACAAACAAAGGCTTTCAACATTCAATATAAGATAATAAGGAATATAACGATTATACAAAATAAGGAAGTGAATGAATACTTGAACAATACTGTTTTGGCATATGCTTGGTTGTTTGGGGTCAACTCTTAACCAACCAACCTATGCTGTTACATTAGCTTCCCCCTAGAATCGACTTCCGTATGAACGTCGGTTCGATTAACCTATCTATCAAAAACACCTTAGTTCTATTTCTCATCCCAAGGGAAAATTATCAACTCACTCAATGTTTGACTTACAATCAGTGGCAACTAACGCTGTCAACGGTAGTCCATGGATGTCTCTTCATTTACCAGCTTGTCATCTTATTTTGTAGCATGTGATTTCTTCTACAACTATTGCTGACGGTTTGATGCGTGCTTTCATGAGAAAGAGTGTTAGACTGTGGAATAAGAATATCTGAGGTAGTGCCGCGAGCGGGCTACCCAACACCATGTTGGTGAGGTACGATTTTTCCATGCTCAGACCGGCTATCAGGTGTTTACTCACCTGCCTCTTGAGTCGCCCTCAAGTAAAAAGTAAAGAAGAATCTACTTCAAAAGTAATGGTGAAAACCAATCAAACCTAAAGAACTGCTCCACTGAGCGCATCAAAATATTAAGATACAAAATGGAAATACATAAATATAGTTGATAATTGTTCGGTTCCACGTAAGTGATTGGCCTCCAGAACGGATTGGTTTTCTGGAAGAAAATAGACATAGTGTAGCCATCTTGTTTACAGAAAGGTATGAAAACAAAAAAAATCCTTTTTTTATAATGTATATATGTAAAAGTGTAAACTTGCTAGAAGTTGGACTCATTGTCAAACCCGTTCAAATATGTGACCTTGGGAATGCGACAACTGCCTTTTCTAACCAGGTACGTAACCAAGGGTGCATAATTTTACTCCATAAAACGGAAGAGAATATACGGTTAAAGAGGGGAGAAAATTGTGTAGAGTATAAGGATCAAGTACAGTTGTGTCAAACACTCTTTTCTGGTTTGATTCAAATATGTATGATATACTGAGGCAATATTTCGACAATTCATCAAAGTAACGAATTTGTCTGCACCTTAGAAGTGTGTAAGTCCTATTACTCATTAGTATTATGAATGAATAATCGGTAAAAGGAAAGATTGCAGTCACCCCTCGTGGTCTGATGTGGCCTAATGGCTAGGCACGCGGTCTAGCATTCAGGAGGGCAGAGGTTCGAGTGCGTGTGGGTCATGCGTTTTTGTTCATCGAAACCCCCTTCAATACGATGTTTGTTGGCCATAACTTGCTCAGATATGAGAGAAAGATAACAGGAGGATTGATTGATATGTCAAAATGCCAGACAAATTCGTGAATACTTCTTTATTTCAATCTTAGCGCAGTCACAGTGGAGCGTGGGATTATATGTTCAGACAAACAAAGGCTTTCAACATTCAATATAAGATAATAAGGAATATAACGATTATACAAAATAAGGAAGTGAATGAATACTTGAACAATACTGTTTTGGCATATGCTTGGTTGTTTGGGGTCAACTCTTAACCAACCAACCTATGCTGTTACAAATCCACATATTGTATAGTGATATGATTCATCATATTTATTTGCATCACTACACTATTATTAGGATTTGCTTCTAGTGACCACCTGTCCAACCATGCCACCAATGACCTAAGATCATTCTCTAATACTATTCTATTCGATATACTATGTATAGGTCTCCGAATTTTTATGTCGCCAGTGAAGAGTAGAACGGATGATTTTGCTCCAGTTTGTAATTCATTTACATAAAGTAAAAAGAGAAGAGGACTGAGAGTTGTGCCTTGAAAAACTCCACTTTTTACAGGTACCCACGATAAGAGAGTTCCATTAACCCTTACCCTTCGTCTCCTGTCATAGAGAAATTTACTTATCCAATCAACGACTGTATAATGAATTCCAAAACGTTCCAGTTTGAATTTTAGACCAGAATGAGAGACCTTAACAAAGGCCTTACTTAGGTCTATGAAGATCACATCCACAGGAATAATTCGATTTTTTGCAACAGCCCAATCGTCTCTTGCAACTAGAAGATTTGTCAAGCATCAGAAAACCATGGTTTTCCCTGGAGAAAAGATTATACCCTTCAACATAGTTTATTACAGATATCCAAATGATTGTTTTCCATCAGTTTCACCACCGCACTAGTTAAGTCAACGGGTCTTTAGTTACTAACTAAATCCCTACTCTCAACCTTATACACCGAACTTATTATAGAGACTTTCCAGTCTCTGAAAAGTCTGAACTACCTCAGAGACATGTCAAACAGTATCGCTAATGGTTCAGAAATTACATCTGATATGGCTTTAATAATCCTAGAATGAATATCATCAGGACCACCGGACTTATCAGGTTTGAAATGCTGAAGTAGCCTCAAAACAGTACCTTTCTCAATGACTACAGGGTCTATCAGCGAGCCGCCACAATCATAATGAGTCGTTGGCCGTTCCCCAATGCTGATAGGAAACAGTTTACTGAAATATTCCGGTAAAGCTTCAGCTTTTTC